TTTCGTTCGTTTCACAAGAGACTCGATCTTTCTTTTTCGTTTCTTTTTTTTTTCTTCTTCTAACTTGACGCATAGAAATTTTTAAGACGCTACGTTCAATTGGCGTGTCGTTGATTAATAAATATTTTAATTATCAATTTATGATCTTTTTCTGTTTATGTAGAATTTATAAGAAAATTATTATATATATATATATATATATATATATATATATATATATATAGAGAGAGAGAGAGAGAGAGAGAGAGATAAAGTGATCGATAATTAAAATATTAATATCAATGTTAAGATGATTTATGAAAAAAAATTATTTACATTATAATTTTATTAAAATTTACAAAAACATTTAAAATATTAATAATATTATAATTTACATATAATTATTCATATTATGTACATAATAAAAAAAAAAATATATATATATATATTTTTTTCTTATAAATAAATTCAAACATTTCCGATGAGCCCAGTAACAAATACTATATCTACAACGAACGAATATAAATCATTCGATTTTTTTTCAATCATTAAACGACATCCGAATGTATTAAAAGAAGCCAAAAGAAAATCTATAACTTTTTTCTTTTATTACATCCGTTCTACATCGTCGATGAAGTATAGTACAGTCATTGTGAACACACTTTAGCTATTATGTATTTTCATTGTTAGTCGATGCGAAAGCTTATACATAGATGTACATAGGGTACGTGTAACCAACGCGTTTCGAGTTCTCGTTTAATTGATCCACCCGTAATCTGGGACGAAAGCTTTTCATCCCTTTCTACCAACCCCCCGGATCCTTCACACATTCCCGCACTTTCAACGGAAAATTGTACTGGGTGAACCGAAAGTGTTATCGTACGATTTTAAATATGAATTACTTTTCTTTCTTTGTTTTTTTTTTTTTCTTTTTTTTTCTTTCTTCCTCCAAGACTCTTTCAGGTCTAATCGTTTCTTTCTCGTTCTTTATTCTTTTTTTGGTTAAAAAAAAAAAAAAAAAAAAGAACTACAACGAGAAACCCAACAACGAGATCAAAAGGTCTCGGAGGGGGATGGAAAATAGATAAGGCAATTTGTTTTTTCTTTTTTTCATTGTTTTTTTTTTTTTTTTTTTAATAAAATCGACTATTGTATAAAATAAATAAAACAAAAGGAAGAAAAAAAATATTGAGATGGAATCAACCAACGAACGTCGAACGGGCACGGTCAAAATATATTAAATAACCAAAGGCGAAGAATCGAATTAAAAAAATAAAAAAATAAAAAGGAAAGAAAATAGAAATAAAATAGAAATGCGAATAAAAAAAGAAAAAAAAAAGGGGATGGGAAGAAGAAAGGTACAGAGAAAAATAAAATACGTATATTTCTCTTTTTTTTTCTTTTTTCTTTTTTTTGCTACAATCACACGCCACGACAAAAGATATACACGGATATAATATCCATCTTTTATTTAAAACGGAAAAAAAAAGTGATAGTCGTACACGCAAGGCTTGTCGTTCGGGCCTATCGAAAAAAAAAAAAGGAGAAAAAAAAAAGGAGAGAAAAAAAAAAGCTTTACATCCACCGCGTATCACGACAGCATGGTTATTGAATAATACAAAGCAAATAGCCAATAAAAGAGAAACAAAGAGAAACAACAAGCGGACAAAACAAAACAAAACAAAAAAAAACAAAAAAAAAAAAAGAAAGAAAGATAAATGGAAAAAAAAAAAAATAATAAAATACTTTTACAATGGAAACGCAATAAAATATAGATATGGTTATATACATATGGATATCATTTATATTTTCTATTAAATAAAGAAAAATATATTAGACGTTTTTAATCATCGATTAACAGTTTCGTTCGTTCACTAGTCACAAATCACCAAAGGCTGATTTTACAAAGCCTACAAGTTTGCTTATTCATGAGATGCTTCTGAGTGATAATATACAAAGAAAAAGAGAGAGACAGACAAAGAGAGAGAGAGAGAGAGAGAAAGAGAGAAAGAGAGACAGAGAGATAGAGACAGAGAAAAAGAGAGAAAAAGAGAAAGAAAATGGAAAAGCAGAGCTCTTTATGGTTCAACTCCCTGATACATATTGTATTCCACTTGACCTACGTAAGAGAAAAGCTAATTCTAATACGTAGGCGTTCTGCGTTCGCGTAATACATATATATATATATATATACACAATATATTTGAATACCTTTGAAGCATGACACGCTTATTACATCTCTACAACTTCCTCTTCAATTCCGCCCATCCAGCTACGCTATTATATTTTTATTATCGTTTACAACATTGTATTATCAATGAAATGTAATAATTATTACGTTCGTTGTCGGAATTTTCTATTCTATTTTTTTCTTCCTTCCTTTCTTTCTTTTCTTTTCTTTTCTTTTTTTTTTTTCTTCTTTTTACTAAAATTCAAAGGATTTTGAAAAAATCCTACTTTACTCGCTCGACACCATCATTCAAAATTTGACAATTGAAAAATAATAAAAAATTAAATATTA